CTAATGAATTCATCATTTTCATTACTATTTGATATATTTAATCGTGTTTTATTCTTCTCTGACATCCCATCATACATCTCATTGGTCAACATTTTTTAAATTGACCAATAGAGGGTCGAGTTATTTTACTATTCCTCCCCAAATGGGAGAATAACACTAATAAACGTCCAGCTTTTTTATTCGTCAGTGAAATATATCAAGTGCAAATTATCTATAACGTGTCAGCATATATTGTTTCATATCTTCAACGAATGATAAGGTGAGTTGGGTTTCAGCTTCAGGTGGCTTTGAAAATGTTTCTGTGAGTTACAAAAATTGGTGATTTTATTTTCTCCCATGATTTTGAAGATACGAGAGGTGAGAGGTCTGTTAAAAAAAACAAATTGTAGTATATGTTTATCTTCTATTATAGAAAAAAAAGATAGTAATGATTCGATACTGCAATTTCTTAAAGGCAGCTTAAATAAAAGGAAATATGGCATGTACATGCTAGTTGGAGTAATACAAACAAAAAACTAGTATCTTATAGCAACAGAAGAATTTTTCTCCTTCAATGCAGAAAAAACAATGTGGCACCTCCACATATAGAAAATAACTCTAAAACTTTGAATATCCTTTTCAATTCTACAAATGTAAAAAGTCTTATGACATTCATGTATATTATATAACATTTTTTTTTCTCCTTATCATCTAAGCTTTGCAACCTAATATGTCTCAATGACGCTCGAATAAATCCCCATTTTGCATCGTGGGCTCCCCTGCTATAAGTTTCGGGTATAATTTCCATACCAGAATTAGTCCTCCTAGAAATAAAAATTGACGTGTTCTTTGAAATTTTCGATTACATATCCGTTTTGTTGAAACGCCCTGTATTCTGTTTTCTATCAAGTGACAGAGTTTTGCAGATAGTACTGTCATACATTATGAATGGAATAACTGGGAAGATATCGAAGATATAGTAGAAACAGACTTGGCCATCATTAAACTTCTCACCGTTTTCAACCCATAAATTACATTGCCAAATTTGTCTTATTTCATAAAATTAATTTGATATACATATAATAATAGTCATAAGTTCAGAGAGTGGAAGAACCTTCTCGCTTCGAAAGAAATATAACCTATTGAGTGTTTTGATTATTTTAATTTTTAGAGTTTAGATATAACCAATAAAATTTTTGAAAGTAATTGGTACGAGCACGATTTGGTGGTGAGGAATATGTTTTTGATCATCATGTTAAGAACGAAGAAACCTCTGCAACTCCATATTGGAATATTCCAAACGCTGAGCAATGACATCATGGTGAAGGTAATTGAGTGACGTATTCATTAAGAAAGATGTAATGATTGCTGATACTCTTTTTCAGTTTTTTAAAGCTGGATACTCTGTTTTGGCGTGGTCAGATAAACTAAAAGGATAGGAAGATTTATATCTATATTACAACATATGTGTCAATAGTAATGCTATAGCTCAGGGGGCTCCAACCTTTTTTACTCAAGGGCTACAACGTACATTTTCGGGGGATAGGCGACCCCTTCCCCCGTACACCCAGAAATTTTTTATAATTGAGAGCTCAGTGGTGGTTTTTGAGAGTTTCTTGCGTTAGTTTTTCAAGTTTCTATGTTTTTTCAGTCCGTTCAGGGTCAAAGTTTGTAGTTCCGATCATTAGAATTAATTTCAAGTATTTATCTGACAAGGCTCTTTTGGTCCTTCCTCAGGTACAGTCAGGGTGAAGTACAAAAGCGCCAAGCTCTCTACCCTTACTCGTACAGTTCGTGACCACTTACAATCGCTCAAGGGTTGATCGCTACTTATTTACACTTAGTTTTACACTATTCAGAACAGAAGTGGCAAGTAAGAGACGAGTGCTGTTTTTATTTAAAGGTAAAAATGCTTAAAAGGAAATATAGTATCAGATAAAAATAACTTTTGTTTTTCAGTATGCTAATTTTCCGCTGGCCAGAAAAAATCTGTTCGCGGGCCGTAGGTTGGAGACTCCTGCCATAGATGAACGAGTTGCTTTGTTTTGTGAATACTTGAATGAGAATACAAGTACACAAAAGTGTACCCAGCGCGTGACAAGAGGGGCGTGTCTCTGTAGCTGTATATTAATTTAGGAATCAAATCAATTTTTTCACAGAGCTACTCAGTTACTAAAAAAGAAAAATGAATGTTATAAATACTTCATTTTCTTTCTACGTATTTTCCAGAAAATCAGATGAGGTAACCCCTCTCGTTGACATTGGGTATGCCTTTGGCTTGAAATACTATGAAATTGTAACACAATTGTCACAATATAGTCACGAAAGTATACGGATCTTTTATACAATGATCTTACTTCTGAAATACCTGCAGGAGTACATTGAATACTGAGTTTTTGCATAAATATCTACCCAAGTTATCGAAATCTAATCGAAATAACTGAAAGTGAAACATAGGTTCTCACATATAGTCAGTGGGCATATCTGTAGACTGTCTATAAATCAAATCATCTAAAGGAACAATTGGTTATCGCACTGTCGCCAACAGCATATGCAGGAGTAACTTCAGTGAAGAATCCTGCACTGACACCTGTCGGATATAATCCAACGCCCTTCGTGGGGAGTAGTTGTTTTCTGATGGGTGTTACTCCATTAATCTACAGTGTAGGGAGTTGAGACTGCTTTGAACGAAATGTTCCTTTGGATGATTTGATTCATAGCCAGTTTTCAAGTATGCCCACTGACTATATATGAAAAGTTTTCTTTCCTTATACGAGGAATGGGGCAAATTTCGGATATGCGGTTGGTTACCTCGTTCATAGGTAGATGGGTTCATGGGTAGATGCTGCTGTTCGTTGTCCGCTTCAGCCTAGTTCGATGAATGATACTCTGAAGAAATTCGATTTTCAATTATCGGAAATCATCGACTTTATGTTAATGATAGACACTACCTTGCACTGACGAGTGGCCAAACAGCCCGAAACCGGTCTGCAAGTGTGTTCCAATAATTGAAAATCTATTGCGACTGTTGTGTCGCCAACAGCATATGCAGGAATAACTTCAGTGAAGAATCCTGCACTGACACCTGTCGGATAAAATCCAACGCCCTTCGTGGTATTAGCCAGGAAAGTAGTGGTTTTCTGATGTGTCAGTTCATCAACCTACAGTGTAGGGAGTTGAGACTGGCCTGAACGAATTGTTCCTTTAGATGATTTAACATAGGCTATGTTTACACTTAATTTTTGTTTTTATTCGTTGGCAATATCACGAGAAGTCATAAAAAATCAGAAATGCAAAGTTTTGTAAATTTCATCGTGATTTAACGAAAAGAACACATTTTTGAAGCTTACTTTCTTACTCATCAACGAATAAATGGTAATTTTTTATGCATTCACAATTCCAACACAAAATTCACACTTAAACAGACAACAACACATATAGCAAGTGCCAAACGTGATGGCGGGCGATCGAGCAGGTATATACTCTCCCAACTAAATTACTATTGGATTACGATAAGCCTCTTGCCGGCCAGTGTCGTACGTATAATTAGTTTTAATTAGAGCAGAAAGTGGAACATGACTTTTTTGTAATTTCTTTTCATATTTCATTTAGTATTATAGGTAGTAGTACAGTTCATTAAAATGTAATATAATGATACACTCTTGATGACTGATTTTTTGTTAGGCGATTAAATTTTTTAAGAAACGTTACAAATTATTCAGGCAATGCCAAGCGCCAAAAGCATTGGAGGACAAGTAATGATACGCCCCTGTACAGAGCATTTGTATGTCTCGCAAGAGCTGTAGCGTAACAGGGATAATTTTTTTCTGGGTTCTGGGTAATAGTAAAGGTTTATCAGGACGCTTCAGTTTATTTACGATTGTCGGTAACAACTTCCAAAACTAAAAATTTACCAATTATTACATTCATTTTTATAACCAAAATATCACTTATTGACCTAAAATCAGGAAGAAACATTTGCTTTGCAATATTCAACAAATAAATTTTATTCCAAAGGGCTATCAGCTTGGTTTCCCGGCATCAAAATTCACAAAATGCGGTTGAAAACAAAAAACGAAAGGTCGAATAAAAAGGGAAACAACAAACACCTTCGTCGCCTATGCTGACTTGTAAACAATTATTTCGCAGACGGTCAACTAGTACCATCTGGTGATAAATAGCACAAGATACTTTCATATGCTACAGTAGTGGGGGTTGTATTGAAAATGAGTTTGTGTGCATGGGGGCGGGCTCGCCATCACGTTTGGCGCTTGCTGTACCTATCTGTTTTTAGGTTATGATCAGTTCGTTGTTCAATGGTCACATAATGATGTAACTTGTCAATTGTTATTCTCGCGATTCTCTAAGAATACGTCTGATTAGTAAGTAACAACAAACTACGAAACAATCAATAACTATATGGTTATGATTCAAAACCTAAGATAGGTTGTTTCAAAAGTATACATATATGTTGTCAGTCAAACCACCAACGCCGACATAAAAACTTGTTGTAAGGTTATGTATAAGTACAGTTTGTCGAGAATAGGAAAAAGTTTCAAAATCTTAATTTGAGACCGCCTTAGCTGTGCGCAGAAGACAGGAGTGGAAACGCCAGTCAGTCGAGTTTGTTAATATGTGCATGTGTTAATATGTGCATCTTTGTTCCTCCGAATGCTTTCTAGCTCTCCGTTACGCGCAGGCCGCAAAAATTTCACCCTTTTTCCTATTCTTGACAAACTGTAAATACTGGCAGATTTTTAAATGTTGCAAATTTGCGACATAAAAAAAATTACAAAGCAACTTTTTTTTCATGTAAAAATTTGTAATAAAATACATAGAGCTTTAATATCTTCCTTACAGAAATAGTGATAGTTGAAGGGTCAACTTCATTTTTGAGTAAAGTTGATATATGGCTTGCTATTGAATCGAAGATGAAAGCAACCCTTTTGGAAATTTTAGTTCTACAGGAAAGAAACTTGCCAGCCAGCACAAGACAATATCGTAAAGATTCTGAAAAAATATACGAGTGATTCCTTGAAATCTATTTTCCAAATTGTTTCGTGAAATCTATCTAGAGTAATATTTTCAATAACATTATAACAAAAAGTGGTAGCATAGAACTTCCTTTGGAGTAGCCACCGGTATGTTCAGGAGTGGGAGCATCAGTTAGAGAAGTGGACTGGCTTTTGGTAGTAGCAGAAATTGTAGACGTTGGTAGGCTAGTGGTAGTAACAGTGTTATTCAGATAGATATTCTCTCATGAACTCTACAACCTCATTATTGAGTAATTCATCGATATGTTTGGCCATTATGAAATCCACGTGATTGAACTTTTCGAACTCCATCACTTTTTTCTTGACTACGTTTGGCATTTCACTTGCGAGTCTCTCAACATCCTGAAATCAACAAAATCATAATGATTATAGAGAAGGGTCTTTATGCTTTTATTGTATAGACTCCTTATACCCAGCTGATTATCTCCCACTTGAAGTGATTACAAACATTTCAAGGGTGCTAACTTTTTCAAGTCGATCTCTTCAATTTTTTGAAGTTCATCGTTTGTTGTACTTCAACGGCAGTTTTTGTGTCATTTATTCCAATAATAAATAGTAAAATTAGTTTAGTCAAAGAAAAAAATGAGAAATTAAATGAAAGAGAAATAAAATTAGAGAAAAAATAATTAAAATTCATCTGGAACAGTTCTGATCTCAAACATTTCTTATTTACGTGAGAGTTTCACGAACACAAATGCTTCCGTCAGAATTATTCACCCTATGGAACATCTCAGTGAAGAGGATCTTTTTTGTACTGAATTAAATCCAGGAAAAAATCAAATACCTCGTCGACGATACAATTAGACGAGCGTTTCGCTATCCAAAACAACATCATCAGGAGAAGACTAGATAGTTTAATGTGTCATTGAATTGATTCTCATTATTTTGTAATTCTCCTATTGTTATTCATTACCTGACTGATGTATTCATCTTTTTTTTTCTACCTGTAGAGTTCGAACGATGGGTTATTAGAAATCGGACCTTCATCACTGTTCGAGTCGATTTTTCCGGTACTATTCAATAGTAATCTGAAAAAATCAGCTTCGCCACAATATAACCGACTCCCTACCTCCTATCCATGTCAAGACTCGATTTTGAATAGCCAAAATATTTAGATATGGATGTGAAATAGTTATGGAATAATCACGTTGAAAATAGCTCCTCTCATTGGAATTTTGTAGGTACCTTGTGAAACATAATAATTAGAAGCATTAATGAATTACCATATTTGGAACCAACATATAACTTACAAACCAAGCTATTTATTGGACTTAAATTCAATCTTCAAACTCAAAATCAGCTGTTTCATTCATTCTGTTGAAAGTAATACAGAGAAATTGAACTTGAATTTTATTCGAATTGGATATATTCATGATTAAATTACTATCAAACTTTGAATTGGAGGGGTTATAGTTTTTAGGAGTGATTCATTTTTGGGATAAGCAGATCAAGCGTATTCCGTGACATTAAAAAATCGTAATTCATGAATGAAGTGTGTGTATTTTCTATAATGTTATCCAATTTGGTACTGAAGAGCCTTAAGGCGAAACATCGGTGTATACCAGTGAGGATGGCAGTGTTTTATGTAAGTGCAATTTGTTACCATTCATTTAAAGTAGAACACATGTGAATGATATCTGATTTTTATTCCACAACGAATGTTTGAAATACAAACTGAGTAGAGAAAAGTATCTTCTGTATAATTCAGTGTTCATATAGAAGTATTTGTTTCGAAAGAATTTTTTCTTTCGTATAATTCAATGTTTATATGAAAGTAGCTGTTTTAGGAGGACTTTCTTTCAGTTTGTGTCTGAAAGTTACTTCTTTGCATGATCTACACATCCATGTATAGAGTTACTTCCTTCCTTTCTTTGGAAGACTCCCTCATCCTTCTTTTTTGTATCAAGATGGAGTAGTAGAAAGCCAAAAACTTTCTTTGCCAAAAATACTATCAAACCAAATCACTGTCAAAAATTAAAATACGAACAGATTTAAAAAAAAATGTCGATATATCACAATTCCAGGGAAAATAAAGAAGCACTATTACCACATTACAAATTTTAAATATCAAATGTAAAAAACTAATTGGTGGAATTTTATAGTTTGACTTTTTTTCTTTTACACTTGAATTCATTTTCAACGTGCAGAGTGAGCCAAATTGGACACTTTAAAAGGGAAACTCCTGTTTGCAAACTAGATAGATGAAAATTGATGACTGTATCTGGAGGTAAAATTTTATGACAAACTTAATGGTGAAAACCGAATATCGATATTTATCATCGTTTCTAAGTTACAGCATGTTTTTCGAAAATGTGCATTTTAGAAAAATTGCTGTAACTTTTTACCTGTCAAAAATTTCTTGTTTCTATGAAAACAAAGCACTTTTTTACGTAGTATCCAATGGTGTAGAAAACTTATTTTTCAAATTAGATATCAATAGTTATTGATGGACTTGATAAGCAGTAAAAAACTTCGGCGAAAATTCTCGATGTTCGATTACAATATTTAAATGCTAGCGGCGGGCATATCGAGAGAGTCAAGTACACAGTCAAGTGGACGTAACAGTGACTTAGTAAGGCGTTAGACATTCAAATAATAATTGAAATTTTTAGTGTTTGTTGTATTCCAAGTGAAATAAAGTTAAGTTTGTAATCAATTATTATTCAACCCACGTAATCCAGTCATTTAAGCTTAAATTAGGTAAGAATCTCGGAATTTGGGATACCCAGCTGTAAGTCTGTAAATACTTGTATATTGACACCCTAAAAGTTGTCTCAAAACCTACATATGGTAGGGTGTAAGCAACTCTTAAATTTCAAGGTCAAAGGTCACAAAAATCGGTTTTTTGCGCTTTTTTTGGAAATATCTCATTTCCTATGGGTTTTTTGCTATTTGTATTCA